TCTCTCTGATTTTTAAACTGTATTTCATTTGAAAGTACGTGCATGTATAACTATTTGTTGATTCAATATATGTCTGATCTACAGTTTCATGATTGATTCGTTGATGTAATTCATTAACTCTTTACTGTTTTTTGTTACTAATTTAAAGTTCACTTCTTTATGGATGCATTCCTGTTTTTTTAATCTATAACAATTAAATTAACTATAATTGCTGGTAATTAGTTTAGTTATTAATGCGTGGAAGATTGTTATTGAAAACTTCTAAGGGTTTGATTAACTCAATCAGAGGTTTTGCAGCTTTTACATGAAAGCATATTATTAAGTGTCTGAGATTTAAAATATCTATTTATAGTATAGCATGGCTGATGCATTGAGGCTTCCATTAATGCTTTGGGGTCCATTATAGAGTAAAAATGACGAAGTTATATATAAATTTTTAAATTTTATATAAGAGACTTGATTTGATTGGACTGACATTCGGTCATAGCTACACAATACGGACATTAATGTAAAATAGTTGTGTCAGCCTGCAAATGATTGTGACCAAGAGAACCAAGCAATGATTTTTATATCAGAAGAAGATAGATAAGCCTCTGCTGTGCTCGTTATCTATTGGTACTTACATGTGTGTTTTGAAGCAGTAATTTGAAGGGGAGAAAATATATTAAAACTACTTCTTTTAATTTTTTTTTAACTTTAATTTGATAAAACTAGAATATATTGGACTTCTCTCATTTGAGTATGTAAGTTTTATACTTCAAGTTATGTTTTTTTATGTGAATTAAAATTAAGGGACATTTACATACATATCATCAAATTTTTTTGTGTTCTTACTAATCTAACATCGAAACGGTATATCACATAAAAAATACCACCATTTTAATTTTTAAATAGGGATGTACAACTTTCTCATATAGAGGTTTTTATTTTTTGGTACAATTTATTTTATCCTTTTGCATGCAAAGGCAAAGTGAGATATATGCTTATATATTTTGAAGTTTAGGTGTTAAATACCTATATACATAGGAATTAGGTTGTATATATGTAAAGCCTCCTAAGGAGTGTTTAAGTGCACCTTAGTTTACGTTAAATAGGATTTATCAAATGCATTATGTGACGAAAGAGCTTGATAGCAGGGACAAACACACGTAGGGCTACTCCCCCTTAAATTCAAAATTTTACTTATATGAGAGGGCAATTTATTCTTTACTCCTCAGAAAATATTAGTTTTGTCATTCTTAAAATATTGATTTATCTTTCCTTGCCCAACACCTTTTCATGCTGGGTCTAGGGGAGCAATTGACCTCTATTAAAAAAGAGGCAGGATCCACCCTTGTGAGCAATGACGAAATAAATCTACCTTGCAATCAGATTTATTAAATCCAGATTTACGTTGTAAAAGTGATGGAATGCGGTAAGAAAAACTCAGAATGCAAAAAGGTTTGATTTAATAAAGCTTTGAATTTAATTTTTATTTTTTTGGGAGTTTGGCTGGATTCAAGTTAAATCCAATGTTAAATCCTTCAAATAATATGCTACTAAACACCGCCAATAATGAAATTTATCTCCAATACATCATTACATGGTATATTAGCAACTTTACAGCTGGGAACTATATATTAATATTTCAGATAGAAACTGAAGTTCATTTACCTTTTATCAAGTAGAAGTGAATAAATCAGATATGTCATGAAATAGAATGGTTTCTTATGCAATATATCCATGTCTGAACTATAATGTACAGACTGACATGAAAATACCCAAGCAGCCATCTACCATTGGGCCCTCCCTCCTCTAAAAACTCTATCTACTGTGCATGCCAACTCTTCTTTGCATTTATAGTCTGGACCGTTCTCCATTTATGGTTCCCTTTGGCTAAACCTCTTTTCGCTTTCTTCCACTGCATCACTTCCTTTACATTAATATCATCAATGGAATTCATTTAATATTCTTACCAAACACTTTGTTTTTAGCAACCTTGCTTTCTGAGTTATGCTTTAACAAAATAAATTAGAAAATGTGTTTCAATGTATTATATATTTAATTATGATTATATCTTTCTTGGTGTTTGATTTTATATGTATAAAACAGTTTCATGCTCCGTTTGAACGACTCCTATTTTTTATATTTTAATTAAGATAAGGTTTAATTACTCTATTTTTTATGGATAGGACAATGTGTAATGCCTTGCACTCTCTAAATTAATTACAATTTACCTATAACTTTTTCATTGCGACGTAATCGCATCTAAGAAGAAGAGCATACTAATATATAAAATTTCAAAAGAAAGAAAAAATAAAGATAGATATATGATGAGTTGATACTATATGCTCTTGTTCTTTAAAATTCAAATGAAGAGTATTTAATCTTTTAGAAAAATTTCCTCACACATGCATGCCAAATTTTGTAATCATTTCTCTCTCTCTCTCTCTCTCTCTCTCTCTCTCTCTCTCTCTCTCTCTATATATATATATATATATATATATATGAATCAAAATGCAATAATTCAAGGCACTTTCAAGCTGCCAACATATCTATGCCAGGTGAGAGAAAAGCATTCAGTATTTCAACAAAAATATAAAGAAAATACAATCATAGCAAGTTAAGGAAAAAAAATACAGAAAAATGATAGGAGATTAAATTATTGTCCTTTAGCAAGCCTCATGGAGCCCCAAGATGTTGCAAAACACTAGTTACACATATAGGAAACACACTAAACACAAAATATAAAAAAATATTAATTAGTTAGAAAGGCTCCAAAAGGTTAAAATATATATGTTGAGAGTGTAATGCTTACAACTAAAAAAAACAACACATTCAATAAATTTGCTATCATGCTTTCTATATACACAAATTATCTTTAAATACAACACAGACATAAATCCCAATATTGTAGACGAAGAAAGTCTTGAAAAAAACTCCTGACATGTTTGCCAAATCACTCATAAAAGAAATAAGCAATGCACTGGTAGTGTTAGCATCACAGCTCCATAGATTATGAATTGTTTAATAAAATAGACTTGTATGAATCAAACGAGATTTTTATGAAATGATTAAAAAAAAATGGAAATTTTTACAATAGATATGCCATTAAACAATTCAAGTTTTTCATGCAGGAAGGACAGCTTCATCACACACAGAGCCTTCTGTGATGCCCTCGCAGCAGAAAGTGCGAAGCTTGTTGCAAACTCCAACCCCGCAGCCATTATTAATGCCCCCACCCCTTCTCTCCTCCCCAACCCCCCATTTCCTTCCTTCCCCAACAACTGGAATCCATTTTACAACCCTAACCCTAACATTTTTGCTTTTCTTCCAAACCCTAACCCTAACCCTAACCCTCACCCCACAACCTCCTCCTTTGACCAAAACCCCGGCGACCCATTTCAACCCTTCGTCAACCCTTACCTTTCCGCTCACCACCTTCACCCCTCCTCCGCCGCCACCCCACAGCCGCATATCGATAGTGGCATTGACTTTGCAGCGAGTCAAAATATTGACCGACTGACCCGCGATTTCCTCGGAGTTGACTTCACCTGCGAAGAAGTCGAGGAATTCCAGCCCATGCGCAGCCTCGACATGGATGTGGTCACCCTCGGTAAGTGCGCTGATGATGGCCGGGACGGTGGCCACACCAAGCCCGTCGCCGGGTCAGGGTTTCCGCCGGTCAACCGAGCTTGGGGCGACCGTTGAGGTACTGCCGTACTGGTTTAAAGGTCAATGGGTTTTCGTGGAATTACGATAATGCCACCTACATGTTTGTTTACGCACTGTGTGGTAGCTTATTGCTGTAAACTAAGGGGTCGAACGGTTTTATCTTGAAAACAATTAGAGGGTTTAAAATATAAATAATTAATTAAATTAGATGATTTCAAAGTAATTTAATGATTTAAGATTGATTCTATTTAAATTTAAGTTAGGAGTTCTTTAATAAAATGTGCCCCTTATGTTTAAAAATTATTTAAATTTAACGGCATTTACATACATATCATACAACTCTTATGTATTTATATATCTAACATTAACATTTTTCTTTTTATATTTATAATATCAAAATCAAATAACGTGAAGAATATCACCATGTTAACACATAAAAAGTTAAATACACCTATATAAGTAAAAATGTAAGTTCTTATGTTCAATATCTAAATACATAAGAATTGAGTGGAATGCATGTGAATCTTACATGAATTTATGAGAAATTTATATACTTAGCGCACAATCCTCGTGTTCACATATTTCTCAAACCTAAACTTTCGCATTTGCATGCACAACACTCTGGTGTTTTACGTACATACCAACTACTTCCTTTGTATTTTCCTATCTAACCTTTAAACTTTGCTTTTATTTTATTATTTTTAAATGCTCAAAATTTTCATATAACCTCTAAACTTTGCATGTATGTGAATCTTCTTTAAATTTATTCATTGGTTTTTCTCTAGTCAAATCCAAGTTGAGCTTTAATGCTAATGATTACATTAATTATTGTTACTCATTAACATTAATTCACTAAAAAATATTGTAATGTCTATAGACGACAAAACTTATTTTTTTTATCCATCGATCAAGGTTTTTTTTTAAATATTTTAACAATCTTAATTTAAAACTAAATTTTAATCCATCCATTTATATTTTTGCTTATACTTTTGATAATATTATTAAATTTTAAAATATTTAATATAAAAAAATATTGTAATGAGATTTAAAAACTAATTAACATATAATAAAATAAATATGAAAAGAATATTTTTATGAGATTTTAAGAGATTTTTTTTTTTTTTGCTAAATAACAGATAAATAGCTTAAGATAATTAATAACAAACATGTCAATGCTCAATCTTATTCATATATGCATAAGACTTTAAAAAGTTATGATATTTAATTATCTCACAATAAATGAGTATATCATATATTTATTTCACTTGTTGCACTTAACTATGTACTCATTCAATATTTTAACGCATTATAAGTGTATTTAAACTTTAGGGGATTTGTATCATACCACTAAATTTTATATGTATCTATATATCAAACGCAATATATATATATACACACACACACACACACACAAAAGATGTATTTCAATTTAGATAAGTTGATGTTAATGCTTTTTTTTTTTTCATGCAAGCTAACGATTAGTCTATACAAAGAAATATAAAGAATTGATTGTTAACATGCAAATGTATACAAATTTAATGTAAAGCCCATTACTAATTAACAAATAAATTTTATTATTTAAGAAATTAAATTAAAAAGTTATTTCATGTATTATTGCAACTAATTAGTTATGATTTATAAGTATGAACAAAATAAATGCAATATAAATTACATTTCCTTAGAAAAATATAAGGAATATGCGGGCATCAATTGAGTTGAAAATTTTTATGAATTTGTAGGAGTTATTATTATTATTTTTAACTTTTTAAATAAAAAATAAATGCTAAAAAAAGCAAAATTATGATTTTCATCATATTATATGATTTCTAAATTAACTTCCAAAAATTAAAATTTAAAAATAAAAATAAATCAACTATTCATTTGCTATTAACATCTACTTGTGATTTAAATAGTAAACTCTTTTTTTTTTTGAAGAAACAAATTCAGCGTTTCACATATAAAATTTTAAATTTAGCAATTCAAAATATGAAGTTATTTTTATGAATATATTGTAAATAAATTATGAAAATATAAAATGAATAAATATCTATAATTTTATTAAAATTTAGTCGTAATTTTAAATAGTAGTTTTGAGTAATTATATAATAACCCATCATTTAGAGTCTTAATATAATCTAAAATCTATTTTAATCATATTTAAATATAAAATTTTAAATTTAGCAATTCAAAATATGAACTTATTTTTATGAATATATTGTAAATAAATTATGAATATATAAAATGAATAAATATCTATAATATTATTAAAAATTAATCGTAATTTTAAATAATAGTTTTGAGCAATTATATAATAAGCCATCATTTAGAGTCTTAATATGTTCTAAAATCTATTTTAATCATGTTTATAAACCCATGGATTAGCTTGCACGTTCTTATAGGTTAAAATTAAAAATTCAATTAGTTTTCTCATGCTTTGTAATTTAATGCTTTTTGATTAGTAGTTCATTTTATTTATGTTAAAAAATTTGATTTTACTTCTCATTCAGGTTTCATTTAATACATTTTCTTGCTAAAATTTAATTAGAATAAATTCATATATAAATATATGTTCATATAAACTAATGTGGGAGATGCCCCACATATAATAATTAAATCCATACAATGATATTTAATTTGTATCAAGGATAAATTATATGTAATTTGTAACAAAATTTGCAAAGTTATGAAAATCGAACCTGACGTCCAATTGAAAGAAGTAAATGTTCAAAATTTAGTGGTTCAACCTGTGCTGAACAGGATCATGTAACAAATATTTAAATTATTAGATAAGAGAAAAAAAGACATTAATATAATTTTTTATTGATTCAATAAATAATATTTTAATTTAGTTCAATACTATTAAAAATCTCGAATAACATTCTAAATAAAAATTTGAAGTCATATTATTTTCACTATATTTAATTCAAATATCTTATTTCTGATCATTCGATTAAAATAAAAGAACAAAATTGAATAATATTTGAATATGTCAGTTCATTAAAAACCTAATAGGTTCTCCGGTTCAACCATGATTTTGATCAGTACAATCACAATTCTACATAGAAACACTTTTGAGCTTGAATCAAACCAATTGAATGACCGAACTCGTCAGTCCAATCTGATTTTTAAAACTATGAAAATTATAGAGCTTCATTAGGATAAATGAAGGTTAGAATTTTTTTCGCGAAAATTTAGAAATGCATTACTTGAAAAAAAATGGGCATTTACATAAATACCAAATGATTCCTAGGTAATTACACATCCTAATTTTCATATTTAAATACTTAGCCCCCAAACTCTTAACATCATATAAATATACCATCATCAACTTCTTAAAAGTGAAATACATATTTCTTGCATAAATATATGAAATTATTGGTGCTAAATGTCTAAATGCAAAAATTGTGGTATGTTCATAAAGTTCTAAAAAGATAAAAAGGTTATTATAATAAATTTAAGACTAAAATGTTTGATTCAAATTTAATTAAAAGAATTTTGTAATTATAAAATTTACATTTTGAGAAAAATAAAGTAGCTTTTATTGCTGGATTATACAACATATTGCTTAAAATATAAATTAAAAAAAAAAATTGCAAAATTCATATAGTACAATTTAGCATAAATTTTTCTTCATCAGTTGAAAACAATATTAAAAAAGTTCATGTGACAATCACTACAGATTGATGAAGGCCACTAAAAGAATATATGCCTGCCCAATGTCACCACAGGTATGAAAAGATAAGGAGCATATACATACAGACCACTTTATTCTTAGGTATTTACATTTCTAACACCTAAATTTTTATATTTATGTTTCTAACACCTAAAGTTTAGCATCGCAGCAAAAATACCATTATTGTTGATTTTTTAAAAGCGAAATACATATTTTCATGCACAGCACGGGTTTATGACACCCAAATGTTACTAGTGTATATAACAACCTTCAGGTGTTAAATATGTAAATACATAAGAATTGTGTATACGTGTAAATTTTGAAAAATTATTGCATGCGGAGAGAGCACGCAAAGCTGCTTGCGCTCTCCAATCACAGTCGCACATCTGTCATACAGCCTTTGCATGATGTGCGGCTGTGATCGGAGAGCGCACGCAGCTCTCCGTACGCAATAAACACTCGTAAATTTCTCAATAGATAAATGTAAAATAGAAAATTAAGAAGAAATTCACTCATTTTTTTCTCTCTATCACTCTTATTATTGATTGGGTAAAATTTACCAGCTATATTATGAGAATAAAATATCATCGCAACCATCTCGTCACAGAATGGTCAGAGGCTATCATACGAGCCCCCGGCCAACCTCATTTGCCAAACTATTCGGGGAACTTGCTTCTAGACCAACCCATAAGATAACTGCTACAATCCCCGAGGGGGATCGAACCCGGGTTGTAGGGGACTTACAACTGCAGCTGCCAACTAACTTGCCACCTAAGGCTCACACTATATATATATA